TTCATAACTCAGACGAACAAAAACACTCCAACAAAAACTTTGATGAGTTGTACTTCCAAGATAAAAAGATGTCAGCATGCTCAGGACAAGCAATATTTCCTCAGAACTACATCCTTTTTGCTATAAAGAAACCCTGGATTGATAGAGGATATGGCGGAATATTTCATGATAAGAACAACAGGTTTTCTAAATAACATATGATTAATGTTTTTTTTTACTTTTACCAAATTTTAATTTTGCCTGTAATAATTTTTTAATTTGGCTCTTTTCACTCTTTCTCAAAAATTAGGTTACATTAAAAAGTTTTAAAACAATTAGAAAAAGCTCAATAAAAATTATGTGTTCAGGAAATTATTAAATGGTCAACTTTAAAAAATTAAAAATAAAAAAGGCAATGCAGCAGAATTAGCTAAAAACATCTTTTAAAAAAGTGTCAAGAAAGTTTTTTGGATTGGAAAAATTATTTACTCAATTTAAAGAAGAAACACGGAAACAACCTAGACAATTCAGATAAGCAATTTTTTAAAGATCAAATGGCGAAACGTAAAATAACCCTTGTTTCAAAGGATTTAGCATATTGCTGAAATATGAAAAAGATAGAAGAAAGAAGATTGAAATATTTAACATTTACTGAGCGATAAGAGGAAATATATAAAGGAAATCAGTAAAATGTCAGAATATATTTCTATATGTTATATTGTGTGGTTTGTGCATTCCTCTATAGTTTCTTCCATACCTTTTAAAGACATAAAAGCATACTGGCAGAGAGTCCAGTATAAAAATTGGGTAGAATCTTATGATCCAGGAGCTAATGATGTACTAGAGGAAATTGAAGGAAGACATACGTGGTATTTGGATTAATTCTTGATTCTATTATGTCTCTCAGATAAAGAACATTAAATATGAGAACTTTGATGAGAAATATAAAGATTCTATTATATCTTTCATCAAAAATGATGAGAAAAAAATTTATTCTGGGGTTCTGTTGACCAATTTAAAACTTTCATTAAATTTACTTTAGTTCGGTGTCGGCAAACAAATTTAATGAAAGTTTTGAATTGGTTGACGAAGAAATTAAATTGTTTGACAAAGATTAACATTGTTGTAATAAAATGCATATTTTGCAGAGCCTATATAAAAATCTAATCAAACTTTATGTAAAAATATAACTTCAAGGCAAATAGTGCACAAACCTGTAAAAAAAAATACAGAAAATGGGTAGGGTGTGGGAGAAGGAAACGAACCATCTGCTGTCCACTGCTAGCACTCTTATAGGGGGTCCTAGAAATTTATTTTTAAAATTGAATTTTGGTATAAATTAGTCTTCATAAACAAAAATTTGATAAAATTTGTCTCGGAAAGTTAAAGAGATTAAGAAATCGGTCAATTGACATATCCATAGCATTACCTAAAATTAGAACTTTTCAACAATTTCTTTCTTGGGTCAAATCAATGCACTTTTTTAAAAATTTAAATTTCCAACCAATTCCAAATTAATATTTAGGCCTTTTAGAGTTCATAGAAAAAAAAAATTGGTGTATTGTTTCAATTTTTAGTTTTAAAATTTTTGGTATCTCCCATATATCAGTGAATTTTTTTGGTATCTCCCATATATCAGTGAATTTTTTTGGCATCTCCCATTTATCAGTGAATTTTTTTTCTTCAAAAGTATGTTAATCTGGATCTCAAAAGAATTTTATAGTGATTTCAAAATTCATAATCTTTTCTACTGAAACGTTAAAAATATATTAAAAAATATATTGCAAACAAAATGTCATAAAAAACGACCTTTACAATTTTTAGTTAAAAATTGTTGTTTTTTTAATATAAAATTTAATTTATATATATATATATATATATATATATATATATATATATATATATATATATATATATATATATATATATATATATATATATATATATATAACACAGTTTTGTTGTAAGGTTTTGTTTTGTTTACAGGAGGGACACCTTATCCAACAATAAATAATTCTGATCTTTTCACCCTTTTATGCTCTGGTTACAGAATGGAAAGACCAGCAAATTGTTCGCAATCTATGTAATTTTTTTAAGTTTAATATTTTTATATGGTGTTGTGTTTATGATTGTATAAAACGTTTTTGAATAAAATATTACCTTGTATTTTAGGTATGATATCATGTTGCAATGCTGGAATGAAGAACCTTTGCAGCGACCTAGCTTTACTGAATTACGTGAACGTTTTGATAAAATACTATCTGAAGCTATTCCATATTTCAGCTTTGATATAGACGAAACAAATCTATATTACAGCTCTGCCTCCTTTAAAAGTGTACCGTTAGAAACAAATGATACCCAAGTAAAAAAATGATCTTCTAAAAATTGTGCTCCTAGAATTAATTAGTAGTAATTATAATAAAAATAATTTTTTATTAAGGATGGAATGAATAATTTGTATCACTCATTTTCTAGATTTTTTTTTTTTAACTATTTTTTATATATTTTAAAACCGTTTTAAAATTTTTATTATTATTTTATAGATTTATTTAATAAATTTTTTAATAAACATTTTTTGTATCGTTTTTCGTTTTTATTTTTGTTGACTATTGGTATTGAAATGCAGAAATAACGAAATGCAGAATATCAATTTGAATATTTTTTTATCGGGAATATATTCACTTTAAACTTGCTTTATTAAGGTGTGTCAATTTTTTTTTTTGAAAATTAAAAGTGGTCAGATTTGAGTAAATTTGGCTACGACGGGACTTTAGCCTATAAGCCCCCTTGTAGCTAAATTTACTTAAAAAAGAGAGCTCACCTCTCTCATTTTCCTGAAATTCTCTACCCTAGTTACTTCTGCCACAACTTCTTTTTTACTGCGTCACTAACATCATGTAAGATTGAATGTAAACATTGAAAACTTTACAAAAATATATTAAGTGAGTATTTGTGTTACTTACAAAGACCATTTTTACAAAGTTAAGACTTGTTTTTATTTTTCTTGTTGGAGCCCCGCAAAAAAAGTTTTATTAAGTACATGCACAGTGTAGTTGATGAATTTAAACCCTCCTAGTTCTTTCAATTTCTCCTCCCTGTCTGCAACCGTAAGCATCATAGAAAAGTTCAAGTTTTTAGTTAGTTCGACATTTTTCAAGTCTTTAGCTATTCCCCTTGTAGCTTTACAAGGGCTGCCATATCTTTTTTGCTACTGTTTTTTATATTAAATGTTTACTGGTAAGCTAAAAACGAATATATGATTTTCTTTGTTCATGTGTATAAGCATGGCTTGCAGCATCAGTTAACAACTTGATGCATCTTTCAACTAACTGTATGAGAAGTCCTGTCAGAAATTTCAATAGGATTGTTTAAAAACTATTTGATTGTAATAGAGCTAAGTGTACATGCAATTGGAGGCTCAGTTACACTTAAGCTCCATGCTTTAATGTCTGATAGCTGTTCGGCATTAGGATTTGTTTCTGATGTTTTTCTTAATCTGAGGCTACTATATCCAACTTGAATGTTGATACAAGACATGTCAAGGTCCTTCAACCCAACTTAATTTAACTTTATTATTAAACCAGTTAGGCATATAAACACTAACAAAAAAATCCCTAATTATTCTATAATTCTCTTGGTTTTCACCAGTAATAATTCATTAATAAGACCTAAACTCTGAAAAATCAAAGTGCTGTAGATAATCATCTACTTTGGTACGATTTCTAGCATTGCTAACCTGTCAGGCAATTCTCCAGTCTTTATTGCTTGAAAAATTTGATAAGCATAGTTTTGGTTAGTTCTTAAATCCTTTGACTGGTATAAATCCAAGGACGACCTAAACTTATTTTGACAAAGTTTGTATTAATTTCAATCTCAGTTGTCGTGTCAAGTATTTTTCCAAGTCCAAGGTCCAGACCATTCATTATAAGAAAGCGTCTTAAATGAAATGTTCAATTAGATGCCTTAAACCTAATTTAACAGTGTCAATAATAATATCAATTAATCATTAATTCATTTTATGAAATAAAATTTATACAAAGCTAGGATCACAAACAGTTATGTAACTGACAAAAACGTGACAACCTACAAATATTAACCGTAAATTTGAAAAAGTATATAAACTAAATAGTTAATTAATAGTAGTAATAATACAGTTATAATCATTGTAACAATAACAGTAGTAATAATAGTAATAATTATAATATTAACATTAGTAACTTACAACAGTAACAATAATAAAAAAAATGTCAATTACAGAGATAATAATAATACTTAAACACTAACAATATATATATATATATATATATATATATATATATATATATATATATATATATATATATATATATATATATATATATATTATATACATATATATTATATACATATATATATATATATATATATATATATATATATATATATATATATATATATATATTTATATATATATATATATATATATATATATATATATATATATATATATATATAGGCTTGGAATGGGCATGCTGGGCATAGCTTTTAACTTGTTGTTTTTTGTGTATTGTTCACTGACAGAAAAATCACAAGTTGGTATTATTGATAATATTTTGTTTTTATAAATTGTTACTATTTATGTTTGTTGTGCTATGTATATTATTAATTGCTCATCGAATTTTTGTCGGCAAATATTAAGGATATAAATTCAATCGCGGATTTAGGCAAAAGCTAACATAGACTGCAGCCTTTGAGAGACACAAGAAAAAAATAAAGAAAATAATGATAAAAATTATGAAAATAAAAAAGAATAAGTAAAGTCATCTAAAGCTTTACTTTTTTTTTACTTTTTTACGGTTTTATCCTAATTAATTTGTCTAATAATTATGCAAATGTTAAGTATTCGAAATTCGAATTCCATTTATCATTATTTTATAAATAAATATTGTTTAACAATACTATATTACTATTTTATCTTATGATCATTGAATTTACGTTTCAATTTGATGTTTCCATTTTATAAAACATGTATAATTCTAAGAAATGTCGCTTACTTATTTTAAAATTGTGTATTATAAAATTTTTCTATACATTCATGAATAAATGTACGAGAAGGGGTGCTGCTGACTCCAAAGAAACATTATCCTATGGGTTCCACATTTTTAAACAAGCATCTGTATAAACTGAAAAAAAGAATTTGTTTGTTAAATGTTGCGCATAAGCCTGAAATAATCAAGTGTAAATCAATTTGAGCATAATTTTCAAATTAGTTTAGTTTATTTCCGGCAACATACTCTACCTCATAGAAAAAGGAATAAACGAAAAGGAGATGCTAAGAAAGAACGAATAAGAAAGAAAACACGTTTAGAGAACGATGCCCAGAATTATCAAAAGTTAACGAACATGTTTGTAACATCTTATAGTACTAACTCAACTGTTAATATGGCTAATTTAGCAACAACAGAAGTAATTACTGGTCTCTATCCAATTTACGCCACTGATGCGGTATTATTATCACTTAATGAGGCAGAGGCACATGGTTCTAAATTTGAAACAACAGATAGTTTTGATGACAATGCTGTCAATGAAACCTCTTACCCTAACTCTGATATTCAATATAAGTTGAACAGTAATCAATGCAAGCTAAGTGAAGAAACTCAAAACAACTATAATTATTTTTGAAACCACAAGCAAACTTGTTGAAATTATTTTTTAAATTTCATCTGAAACAAAACAATTTTGATCTAAACGTTAAAAATAATTACCAGAGCGTTTATTTCAGAAACAATAAACCTCGTAACTGGCTGACCTTTGAAGAAAACACACAAAGGTTTTTCTGTCCTTTTTGTCTGGCATTTAGCAAAGCAATCAACGTTAATTAATAGATATAATATTACAAATTCCAAGCATATTTATTTAAAAATATTAAAACATAAAAGCAGTGCACTCGATACAGCCTGCACAAAGTCGTATGTTTTAAAAATTATTGACAAAGATATTATAAGTATTTATTCGCGCCAACATGGTAAAGAAGTTTAAAAAAATCATTTAATTTTAGATAGAATCATTGAAACTTTAAAAGTATTTGGTAAGCGTAGACTTAGCTAGAGATGCAGAGATGCAGAAGAGTCCGGGTACACATTGCTTGATGATAGTGTAGATCATGGGAATTTAGAGATTCTTTTGCTTGTTGGTAAATTTGATCCGTTGTTGGAAGTACATATCAAAAAGGTTGTTCAAAAAAGCAAATCCCGGCATGATTCAGCTGGTAACAGAAAAGGTCGTGGCGACTTGGTCACATTTTTTTTCAAAAACGACTGCTAGTAAAGTCATTGATGCAATAACAAATTATTTAACAAGCATGATAGTGGAAGAGATTAGAGAAGCCGGTATGTTTTGTGTTTAAGTTGATACCACACAAGATATTAATGTACAGGGTTAGTGTTCTATTGTAATCCGATATGTAACCAAAGCTGTACATGAACGTGTAACATCGATAGTCAATTGAAATCAACAACTGGAAAAGAAATGATTTGGTTTGTGGCGTTTTTGAAAAGGTAGGCATTGATGTAAGTAAATGTATTGGAAATGCCACCGATGGAGCCTCTAATATGCAAGGTCAATACAATAGATTCAATACCTGGTTAAATACAGTTTCCCCAGGTCAGATTCGCGTTTGGTTTTATGCCCATGTCTTAACTTTGGTAATTGGTGACGTTACTAAAAAAGCAGTTAAAGTTGTTATCTTATTTGGCGTTTTGAACACATGTGCAGTATTTTTACGGGAGTCATATTTACGCTTCAATATTTGGCGTGAATTTAATTTAAATATAAATCTGTAATCGGTGAGACCAGTTGATGGGCAACAGACAGAGTTTTTACTATGATATTCGAAAATTTCTTTATCAAAACCTCAGATTAGTAAACACAAGTTATTGATTTTTTGTACATTGACATGTTACAAACATTTCATGATATTTCTACATTAATCAAATTCAATAATGGTATCCGTTACAGAATAAAAGTTATTTTAGATTATTTGACGTGTTTTGAATTTATTTTGACGACACAATTGTTTTTAAAAGTAATTGAGCACACAACGCCATTGTCTGAATATTTTCAAACAGCTGGAATAGATATACTAAGAGCCTAAAAGATAGTTCAAGACAGTATTAATGAACTAAGCAAAGTAGATAGAAATTTTGATTCCATTTTTCAAGCAGAATTTTTCAGAATTTACCAACAGCGAACTGGGAAAAAGGAATCTCGACATTAAAGTTCAGACTGGTTTGAAAGAGAAAAGAATAAGAGCAAACCAAAGATAAGTTTCGTGTCAATATTCCCAACATGGACCAAGTAATCAGTAGTTTAAACTAGAGATTCTCAGAGCATGGTAGTGGATATCTTGTTTAAATAGTTTTGAAAATGCTAGTGTAACAAAAGATCAGCTTCCAACGGAATCATTGGACATTGGACTAAAGAAAATGGGAGAGTTTTGAGATAATTCTTGAAGATGAATATAATTTGCTATTTGACACGGAA